TACACATGACAATATATTTATGACACGGGACTCGTGACAATATTTTTATAACATGTGACAGGTTACAGGGTACACGTGACAATATATTTAAGACACGTGACAGGTTACAGGGAACACGTGACAGATGACAGGTGATGCGTGACAGTTGACTGGTTACTGTAACTCGTAATTCACGTGACAGGATACTAGCGATATACGTGACAAGTTCTAATTGACACGTGACAGGTTACAGGTGTCACGCGGCAAATAACAGGTGAAGCAGGACATATGTGACAGGTAACAGGGGACATGCGATACGTGACAGGTAACAGATAAGTGACACTTGACAGGTTATTCCAAATTTCATCGAGATTCAGCAGTTTAGGCTAAAAAATCTAACAAATATACAACTAAATTTTCGCATTTATAATATTAGTATTCATTCCAGGTATATGGAGAGAGCTGAAGAAATCAAAAGATATCTGAAAGGAGACCATCAAGTACAGCGCACGGAGGACCAGCAGAGATACGTGCACGGTGAGACTTTGAACACTTCACTATTCCGCGTACAGTTGAGGAAATACGCGGTGGTACTGTACTTATGTATATTTATACAAGTGGAATTAAAAAATAACATAAGTAGGTATCCTATGTGTTCAGATTGTCCTCTACTTATGACAATCGAGATTCGTTTAGCAGTTTAGGATAAAAAATAACAAACATCCATACATCCATACATCCATCCATGTAAATTTTCGTATTTATAATACTAGTGAGTTTTTTAAAATGGCTTTTAGTGACAAGTTGGAGGCCGCATCAAAACAAGAACTGATTTATATTTTTTTCTTTTCTTTTTTATTTATTTGAATATGTCTTTCAAATTTTTTTTTTGGTCGAAATAGTGTTTTAATTTAATTTATACTAGCTGTTCCCGTGCGACTTCATCCGCATAAAATTGTGAACATTTTATTGGTTATTGTGTCAAATTATCAAAATGACATGACATGATGACAAACCATGGCAACCTTGCTTCCTTGATGTTGGCAACAACTTATGGTCTCTTTCCCACATTAGGGTTTTTATCTAAAATATTTACCCTCTAAGTTTGATAGCGTGAAAATATATAGCCTAAAGCGTGATATGGTGTAGGGCTTGTTATTAAAAAAATAATTATTCAAAAATATGGTGTAATTACTGACATCTTAGGTAACAAAGAAGTGTGTGTTTACGCTTTATTATAATAGTATAGATAAAAAAGTAGACCACCGACAGATTACCTGATTGTACATTTAGGTAACGATGGTAATTTCAGGTGAAGTAGAGGTCGCCCAAACTGTACAAGATACTGCAGCTTGCGTGCAAGATGCGGTAAAACAACCAGATGACCTCGAACAGAACAAAAATGAGGTATTTTTTTATATTTCAAAAACTCCCATAAAAATAGTGTATTTCAAAAAAAAAATAATTAGCTTGATTTTAAAAACCACATGTCACTTTAAAATTTTAGTTACAAGTCGTTTATAGGTTTTTTAATGTTACTAAATGATTATTTATCAAGATACTAGCTTTCGTCCGCGACTCTGTCCGCGTGGAATTAAAAAACAAAAATGTGTCTATGTGTTCTTCCAGACTATATATATGCCAAATGCCATCGAAATCCGTTCAGTAATTTAGGTTACAAACTCTAACAAACATCCATCCATCCAAAGTTTTGCATTTATAATGTTAGTATGATTATCCACTTTCTTTCATTTGAATTACATTTTTTACTTTACTGTTTTAAATGAACGCAAGTCGAGTGTGCGAGCGAGAGCGCTAATAAACGACAGAGAGGCAAGATCATAAGCGATTTATGACGTCATCACATGCATCTTGCCATTGCAATTTTGTTCTAATTGTTATGGGGCTTCGATAGCTCAGTGGTTCAACATTTGACTTGTATTCTAAACGTTCTTGGGTTCGAATCCCGGATACACTAATGTGTTTTTTCCATTTTTCTTATAACACTAGCTGTTGCCCGCGACTTCGTCCGCGTAAAATTAAAAAAACAATAAAAAAATTAGCCTATGTTAGTGATAACGATGTTTTTTCATAGTATTAGAATTATTGAAATTTCAGTAGGTTTTGAATTATTCCAATACGTACAAAAATACAAATCCTCTTAATTTATTATAAATAGTATAGACTAGCTTTTGCCCGCGACTCCGTCGAATAAAAAAAACCACCAAAGTAGGTAGTCTATGTGTACTTCCACATATTTCATCCAGCTTTGTTCAGCAGTTTAGGTTACAAACTCTAACAAACATCCATCTAAGTATTGGCTGTATGCTGTATAGCTTTCGCTCGCGACTCCGTGCGCGTGGAATTAATAAAACAAACGAGTAGCCAGACTATTCTCTACGTCTATGCCAAATTTCATCAAGATCCCTTCAACAGTTTAGGTTACAAACTCTAACATCCATCCAAAAGTAACAAAAAACATCGTAATGTTTAAAAATTCAAAAAAAAATAAGTCCCTGTATGGGCTGTATGACGTCACTAACGCTGGCTGGGGACCTACAAGTAGGTGATATTCTGATGATGGAGTCTGTTGTGTCGTCAGTGTGAGAGGGC